TCTTTTTAAATAATCTTATCACTATACGAATTTAAATTGTAAATAGGTCGTAGAAGCTATAGTAATAGTATCTCTAAACGAGAATAAGGAGGGGGTAAAAGAGTATAAAAGAGAGTAAATTTAAATTAATTTATTAATAAATTAAATATATATAAAGTATTAATTCTTAGTACTTTTAAATTTCGAAACTTTAATTATTAGACAGTAAATATAGGGATAGAAAGAGGTATATTGTAAAGCGTTAGAATATAGAAAGGTTATAAAATTGAATTATTATACTAAGACGGGAGCTAATAGGCATTAAAAGTTTCTAACTAATATAATACATTATATTGAGGGTATACTGACTAGAGGATATAGTAAGTATTTATAAATAATTTAGGAAAGTAGCTCCTATAGACCCTAATTGTATATTAATATATTAAAATCCTACTTTTTGAACTTAATAGAAATTTTAGGATTTTTTATAATTTTTAAACTTAAATAATTAACCCCCTATATTCTACTTTATTTTATTCTACTCTATTCTACTCTATTTATTATTACTACCGCGCGCCTTTCTTTTAAATTTAATTGCCCTTACTAACTGCTTTAATTTAATAGGTTTAAATTTATTATTTATTATATTCTATAAAATAGCCTCTTCCTTTATTAATTTTTAAAATATATTAATAATTATCTCTAGTGATAATTCCTTTGCGAAATTAATTTGGAAGTTTAATACTACTATTTCAATATTGACTATATTAATTAATTACATATTATTAATTAATTTAACTACTTCGTTAATAGACTTTATTATTAAAGTACTACCTTACCCAACGGATACTTTCTTAGTAGGCTACGCCCCCTTAAAGTATATTAGAACCTTAAACCTATTACTTCCCTACCCTTCCAGTTTATTATTACTATCTTTATTACTTTAGAAATCGGGGTCACCGGCCTTCTATTATTTAGCACGCCTTACCGCCCGCTTCTCCCGCGCTTTTTCGGTACGAACGACCTTCCTTTCTACGGCGGTTATTGTATTATACTTCCTTCTAACGGCAGCCGATTATAAATCTTTACCCCTATTATCAATAGTAGTACGTATTAACCGAATAAATAATCTAATTACCTATTCGTCTACGAATATACTTATTAAAAGAGAGTAGCCGTCGGTATTACTAAGGATATATATACCCGTTTTTATCTAAGCGCCCTTACTATTAAATTCTTTAATAAAGGGTTCCTAATATATATTAGAATATTAGACTTTACTAGTTTCGTAGGTAAAAGAGGTACTAGTACGTCCTTCGACTATTTATTTTATATATTTAATATATATTTTAAAACGAGTAAATATACTTTAGTATATTTCTTATATAAAAACCCAGTCTTTATCCTTATTCTTACTAACCTAATCGGTTAATACTCTTATTTAATATTTATATTAGTCGTGCTTAAAACTTTTACTTTCTTTTATTATTATTAAGAATCTACCTAATTAAGAATTTTTAATAGAGAGGATAAATTAATAGTATACTTCGAGAGATTAATAGTATAGTTCTTAGCTTGTAGTTGAGGTAGGGGATTACTTTTTTTAATTGGGTACTTAATTAACTACTTCTTTATTGTTAGATAATTCGGACTGCTTTTATATTGCACTTACTATTTCTACTACGTCGTTATTATTATTATCGTTACTCCTAATAGATCTCGCCCATTTATTAGGTAGTTGGGACGCGTCTCTAAGCGAAAGTTCGACTGTATTAGAGAAGACTAATATACTAGGAAAATTATATTCTATATAATTATTGATAATATTCTATATAGTATGTCGATAATAAAGTAAGCGGTCGATAAATACTAGAGTAGACGGTGTAGCTATATTTAATATAGTAACTCCTATAGAAACTAGGAAATTAACGATAAAAGGCAGCAACTATATTCTAAGTTAAGATAATAAAGAATCTATATACTAGTAATCCCCATATTGAGGGTTTCTATACTATAATTATTAGAATTTATTATACTATTAGTAATAGTATTACTAGGAGTACTGGGAGGGCTCGTATTAGGAGTTATACTAGTTAAAATCCTCCCTAATAGACTCTTAATTAGTATACTAGCTACTTATTATCGATATCAATAATATATAATACTTTTGAGCTTTTAGAGCCTTAATACTAGAAAAGATTATAACTCTTCTAGTATGGCGGTGTAGATCTATAGCGGTAGTTTAAAATATCCTAGCAACCTTTGTAGTACTCTAGTTGGTTATACTCTGTTGGGGTTAGACGGTTTTGGTTGGTTCTACACACTAAATTTTCAGTACGAAGCCCAACCCCCTACAACTGGTACTCCACACAGAAGTCACTCATCTGCCTATAAGGTTACGTTTATAAGGTTACGGTTACGCGAGCCGATCAGGCCCTAAGTCTGGAATTCCGTCTGAACGGGAAGGGACAAAGTTGGAAATACGCGCCAGGACACCAGATCCTAAGAACCAACCAGAGAGTGGAATGGTTGTGTGGATTCCATCTTGCATGAGCGAGGTGGGTCGTGATTCGCAAGGGTCCAGCAGTTCTGTGACAGTGCCTGGTGCACGTCCGTCCCCCGACCACATTGCACCGAAACGAACGAACCCCTTCCCCCCTTCGAGCTGTCAACTCGTCAGTCTCACTCTTTGGTATGCCGTATGTACGCAACTGCTCGAAAGGCGGAAATGAGAGAGAGACATGGACCATGAAGCTGGCTCACCTCCCAGAGTGGGAACTGAACACAATCAGAGCAAGACATGGAAAGTCTACGGTTTGGGAAACTGCTGGAAAAACCCCTCGCTCATCAGAACCCACGAAATACACCTATGTACTGGGAATGTTACCCTGCATGCTCTACACGTGTGCACTATTTTTGCTTTGTTACTTTGGGACTCCTACCGTTGGATGCCGCAGCAGGCAATCTCATCACATCACCTGTTCCCTTCCTGACGTCCAGTCCTCTGCATTTTGAGCAGTGGTCCTATAAATTCGGTCTTTGTCCTGGCCATGTACAAGACCATTGGTTTCCCACGCCTTTCATAGGCTATACATGTGACGGGAACCAGAAGCTTATCACGGTGGTGGGCTGACCAAGTCTTGGAAAACATGCGATGGTAGAGCCATCTGAAAAAGATAATTTGTTCCTTGACACCACCGTCACAATATTGCCAGTACTGCCAATATGTACTCGGCAACATCAGGGAAGCCAGGAGAGCCCTCGTTTCGGTAGACAAGAGGCCGAGTGAAGATGGGGAGGAGGTTCAAACTCGGATGCCCCCCTGGAAGTGTCACCATCAACGGGCCATCCATGCTGAATCCCTTTGCAACCGATATTGACCTCTTGGGTCCCATCCGTGTTTCTAAACTTTGTCTCCTCGTTCACGCTCCGTTTTGATCTCGGTTCCCACATCATCGTCGTGATGAAAGAGTCCCAGGCCGGAGATTCAGTTGCAACGTTGAATTTCGTGCAGTTGAGGTGCAAGTTGGCTTTAGATTCCACTTGTCCTGACTAGCCGGGTTGCCCCTGTGGGCATGGACCCTCAAAAGGCTCGGAGGCTCTTGCCCTAGCGTCATCAGTGTTTTAGCAACCCGGCAAGCACGGTTCACTCACCCATGATCGCCTATGTGAACTCACAACCCCAGACACACCCCCCACAGCTGTCCACCATGTCCACTGTACCTTACTGCCGCCTGCACTTTAGCAGCCTTGATTTGTACCTGCTACTAACTCAACGCTCCGATCTCATCACCCTCGTTCTCGACTCCTCCACACAAAGACCAATTATTCCCTCTGCCGATTCCCAAGATACCTATTTTCGTTGGCTACACGGCCTCTTTTCTTCGTCACTTGACGATATCCTCTCATTTCCATTGTTCCGGTCACGATCGACCCCCAAACGCCAGTCCTTTCTAGCATCCCAAACCACACAGCCAGCAACGTGCATCCATTCCTCCTACACTTACACTATTCCTAATTGGCAACTGATAGCCGCCTGCCTCCGAGTTGATCAGAGACGTTCACTCTTCGGGCTGATCCCAATCCTTCCCCGCGATCTCAAGGACAATTTCCGAGCAGCTGGACTGGGCGCCTGTTGGCTGGTGGCATTGCTGGACCATCAATTGATACCCCAGCTCACCCACCTCAGTTATACATACCACTGCCTAGAGGTAGACAACCTATACCAACTGTTCAGTTTCTGTCAGGGACCAGAGGCTACAGAGTACAGGTTACCTTTCCTGCTGTCATCATCTGCATCCTGCAATTCGATATTGCTCCCGCCAGCCTGTACCCGCTGGTACCTGAACATCATCACCTGGACCTGCGTCGTGGGGTCCAATAACAAAGACCAGAGACGGACAATACCATTGTGCGAAAACCTCGAAAGTCAGATCACAGGCCGTCACATGCCAAGCTGCCGCTAAATCAACAACATCAGGTCGGTGGTTAGCATTTTAATAACGGCCATCGTCCAGTCCCACAGCCTCCTAGTACCTCTACGACCCAGTTCCCACGGACGGAGCATCGGACCCGACTCCACTGAGAAGTTGCAGGAGGAGCTTTTGGGCCCACGAACAAGGCACGGAGATCTCGCTGTTTCTGCCCAGGCCGACCGGCCCAACAAGACCAGCCAGGCTCAGCACCTGCAAACCAAGCACAGCCAGACCCGTGAAGAGTGCTGCTGGCGGTGCCAAAAAAAAAAAAAATTAAAAAATTACAAGCGTGGGAAGCGGTCGAAGCGGTGCCATTCTGCCGCTGACTCGACCAGCCAAGAGCAAGTACCCCTGCTGCCACCCTGCTCCCACTCGCTACTGGTGCCCCAGGTCGCGGACAGTGGACTGTCCAATCTGCCGCCCACTTATACAAGACAACAGGCCTGGCCACGCACGCTCAACCCCTCTGCATGTTTCGCTGTTAATCTCGAGTTGTCCCGATACACCACCTCCCATTTCTCCATTGCTTCGGGTCCGCGTGGGCCAAAAGTTATTTCAAGATTCTCGCGACTTGTTTTCCAGAAGGGCTTCCAAGTGTTCCTTTGTCTGTGTTCGCATCTCCCGCTGCTCTTTGAGCCCGGCATCAACCCGATTATACGCACCTTTAATCATCACCTCAACATGTCGCTAAAACAGGTCAGTACACCTTTTCGTCTCATATCGCCTCCTTTTATCCGATCTGGTTCACAAAGCTCACATACCATGATGGCTGCAGGAAATAGAGACCTGGGTCTCTGCCCTGGCGCAGTATGACAATAGCGAGTTCGATGCTGCATTGCAGGAGTTCGAAAAGATTGCCGACACCTCCAAGATCCTCTTCAATATGGGCGTTATTCATGCGACACTGGGTCAACACGAGCAAGCTGTAAGTCGCGGAACATACTCTTTTTTGGTCACACGGACCTAAGCTTACTGATACTATTCAATCAGGTCGAGTGCTATCAACGAGCGATCCGGCTCGATCAGTACCTAGCTGTCGCATACTTCCAACAGGGTGTTTCCAACTTCTTGCTTGGCGACTTCGAGGAGGCATTGGCCAATTTCAACGACACACTTCTATATCTTCGAGGCAACCAAGTCATCGACTATGCGCAGCTGGGCCTTCTCTTCAAACTTTACTCATGTGAAGTCCTCTTCAACCGTGGTCTTTGCTACATCTACCTTCAACAAATCGAAGCTGGTATGCAGGATTTGTCGTATGCGGCCAAGGAGAAGGTGGTTGAGGACCATAATGTGATCGATGAAGCGATCAAGGAGAACGCAGAGGTAAGCGCATCGCGGATCTCCAAACTGTACTATTGCTGACGAGTGCTTAGGGCTACACCGTTTTCTCTATCCCAGTGGGCGTCGTCTACCGACCAAACGAAGCGAAAGTGCGAAACCTAAAGACCAAAGACTATCTTGGCAAAGCCCGCCTAGTGGCAACATCAGATGCGAACAATGCATTCACTGGTTTTGCTGGTGCTGAAATCAAGAATGTTAGTCTCTCTATGTTGCCCTTTCTCCTCTTTCGCAGTTGCTGACATTAGGAAACCAGGCTGGGAAACTTGAGGTGAAGGATGATAGGCCAGTCGAGTCTCTGTCTTTCGCCGCTACCAACCTCGTCAAGCCTGGGCTACAGAGCAAAAGGCAACAGTCGGAGCCCCCGACCAACCGCAGCATGTTCCCGCCGACACCGCCCCCCGAGAATGAAAAGTCGCAGATGAGCCGCGGTGCTTCTGTCCGAAACGGACCCAAACCCATGCCGGCTAGGCTTAACCTCGATAAAGTCCGACCGAGTGATCGCTACGAAAAGACGTCGCCAGAAGAGCCCTCTAGGCGGCCTTCTCGCGCAGCATCGGCCACCCCATCCCGAGGTTTCTCCCAACGCGAACAGCCCCCGCCGCCAAGAATGAGACGGTCTCAACAGGAGGAGGAGGACAGTTACCCGAGCGAATTATACGATATGTACGGCGGCCCCGGCCCCAACCGAAACAGCCGCGGACAGAGGAGCAACCGAAGCGCCCCGCGATACATCCAGGAAGAAGACGATGAGAGCGACTACGACGTTTCCTTCGATGAGGCTGAATTTGAGATGGTATCTGGTCGTAGGCCCAGTCTCAGCACGGTTCGAAGCTCCGGAGGACGCGGTTCTTCTAGGCGGCCTGAACTTCGCAGCATCCGTGTTAAGGTGCATGCTGGCGATGTTCGCTACATCATGGTCGGAACTGCCATCGAGTTCCCCGACTTTGAGGAGAAGATCAGGAGCAAGTTTGGGATTCGCCGCCGCATCAAGATCAAAATCAAGGATGACGACTCGCCAGATGGTGATATGATCACGGTGGGCGACCAAGACGATCTTGACATGCTCATTCAGACAGTCAAGCAAAATGCAAGGAAACAAAGATTGGAGACCGGGAAGATGGAGGTAAGTTTTGCCGCTTGGTAATTGTCCTGCTGCATTGTTCATACTAACAACATCAATAGGTCTGGGTCCAGGAGATATAGAACCAATTCGCCATATCGGTTTTGCTACGCTCACCAATTATACCCTTAGACCGATAACGACGGATTGATGCATGAACTTAACGATGTTGTCCTCTTCTTTTCTTGTTCTGTTCTTCGGGATTTACTTTCGAGTTCAAGTCCTCATTCGAGTATCGAGTATGGGCCCTGTCGACAGACCTGTACTTTTGGCATGAGAGGCTGTGCCCTCTATGCTTTGTATCGCAATACCCCTTTTGCATATCAGACTATTTTGTTTCTATTTTTGCATGGCATATTTGGATATATAAGGTGAAGGTGTCGGGCACCAAGGAACAAAAAATCCTAATATGTTGTAGCCTTGAAAATATTTGCTTGTCTCTTTCTCAAATATCCTCCTGCTGACATCCCATATCGATATTACCCCCTTACCATGTTTTATACCTCTTTTTTTTTGTTCCCATTCTTGAATTTGAGACGTGAAGGTTTTTGGAGTCGGGTCAAGCAAGGTGTATAAGAATGATGATTTTCAAAGAAAACAAAGTTGGATATTCGCGAGCACGATTCAGTTTATCATCATACCGTTCACAATGTTGAGGCGGGTGATGGATGGAGGAGTCATGACGGACTGACGAGTTTCAGAAGGAAATGTTAGTGTAACAAGGAACCCCACTGTAACACCCCACTCCTTGGAAGCTTGGAATGACAGAGCTTCACTTTTGAGAGACTTTCGTGCTCTAGCAGTTGCGTTCGGTTATCGATGGCATGATACCTGCCCTTGACGAGAGAACCTTACTGGCAGGCACGCCTCCCATAACGCCCACTCGTCATCTATTCCGCTTCCCTAGTAACTACCTAGGTAACCACTTTCAACCTGCCCTCTTCACTCTTTATTGCCTCACCCTGTTCCGTTCTTGGTTTGATACATATCTCTATCCTCCCTATTACCTAGGTATCTTAAGCCCATCAGGGATCAATCGGCTTCCTCAACATGAGTGCCTCCAACGACAGTGGTAGGACACTACCCAGAGTATTGGTAATAGCAGGGTCGGACAGTTCGGGCGGAGCGTTAGTACCTTTTTTTATTTTCTTGATTTCCAGTATCATCAGATCTACGCCCATGTTTTCTCCGATATCCATATTTTCGTTGCCCTTATTTCCTCGGACTTGGAACAGCGATCTGACGTAAAACAGAGGTCTCGAAGCAGACCAAAAAGTCATTGCCGCTCATGGATGCTATGCTATGACAGCTACCACCGCATTGACGGCCCAGAATACCAAGGGAGTGTACGGCATTCACGAGGTTCCGGTGGACTTCCTAAGGAAGCAGATCGATGCTGTGGTGGGTGATGTCGGTGTTGACGTTGTCAAGACTGGTGAGCTCGTCTCCTTTTAAGAAAAGTCGTGAATGAGCACTAATGACTTTACTGGAACTAGGCATGCTTGCTTCGGCCGGCACTATCGAGGCTGTTGCTCAGGCTCTTCAGGATCACAAGCTCAAAACACTGGTTATTGACCCGGTAGGTTTCTGATCTTAGCTTCTTTGTTTGTTTGTTTGTTTGTTTGTTTACAATGCCTTACCCCTTTCTGTCTCCCCAGTGCCACAGTGCACCATCCTCTACTGAGTTCCCCACCCACCACCATGCTAAGAGTTATCTTGTGACATCCCATCGCCTACCACTTACCACAGCACTTCTAAACATATACTTATACATTCTCGTAGGTAATGATCGCGACAACAGGCGCTGAACTCCTCCCTAATTCGGCCTCCCGTGCTCTCTGCGAGAAACTCCTCCCCATAGCCACCATCCTGACGCCTAACGTCCCGGAAGCGAACAAACTCCTACTCGAAACCGGCCACGACCAGCGCCCGGTTCAGTCTGTTGCCGATCTTGAGGATATTGCCATCAAGGTGCAGAAGCTTGGGTCAAAGTGGGTGCTCGTCAAGGGCGGTCATACTCCCTTCCGCAGGGATGGCACTGAGGCAAAAACGGAAGATGAGATGGAAATCGTCGTCAATGTCCTCGTGGGACCTGCTTCAGGGGAGACGAAGAGAGACACAGAGGGCGAGGAGAAGTTGCAGATGGTCAGGATCGAGATGCCGTACCAGAGGTCTAGGAATACCCATGGTACTGGTTGCTCCTTAGCTTGTGAGTTTGAGTCTCTTTTACGCCCGCCCCTATCAAAGAACCCGCGAGTTCGTGGACTTTGTGGCGATGAACTGAATGACTAATCATTATTATCAGCCGCTATTGCCTCGAACCTCGCCAAGGGGATGGACATGGTTCCGGCTGTCAAGGCCGGAATTAGATATGTCGATGCCGCAATCAGGACGGCGCCTGGGTTAGGCCAGGGGAACGGGCCCCTCAATCATTTTCACTCCGTCAAGGCACTTCCATTCTCTTCGTGAGCTTTCCCTTCTCTAAGTGATTCACCCGCATCTTGCTGCTAATGCTTCATCAGCGGTCACTTCCTCGATTATCTTCTTGAACGACCCGACGTGGCCCCAGTGTGGGACCGCTACATCCATCACCCGTTTGTCATGGCCATGGGTGATGGGACTCTACCGAGAGAGTCATTCAAGGGATATCTGATGCAGGATTATGTCTATCTCGTATGTTCTGGCTTGTGTGGCAGTACCGAATTATGTCATATTGGCATTTATCTTCCCAATTATACACCTACAAAACTCCACGGTACTGACCCGTTGCCTGGTACAGATCCATTACGCCCGTGCAAACGCATTGGCTTCGTACAAGGCCAAGAACATCGAGGACGTTGCTGGTGTACGTTTACCATCATGACTTCAATGCTTTCCATAAGGATCAGGCTAACAAAAGGGGATGGCAAAGTCGGCCGCTATTGTTGCGAACTGCTTCAGGGAGATGAATCTCCACGTCCAATATTGTGCTGGTTTTGGCATCTCCAAAGAGCAAATGGAGAGGACTGAGGAACATCAAGGTAAAACTATCCGTTTGCTCTCTGGAACCTATGTATCAATTTTCTCAAGAGCGGGATCAGCTAATATCCACGTCTTGAACAGCATGCACGGCATATACAAGGTAATTCTCCTTATACGCTACCCTACTAGGCCTTCCAACCCTTTTTGCCGCTTTCTTTGTCCCTTCTCAAGCCACAAACCCACTAAACACCTGACCACCCAACCCTACAGATACGTCCTAGACATAGGCCAATCCGAAGATTGGTTCGCTCTCCAGATGGCTCTGGCCCCATGTCTCCTCGGCTACGGCGCCATCGCCAAACACCTACACGCCTCCCCCAACTCCAAGGCCAACGAAACTGACAACCTCTACTGGACCTGGATTACCAACTACGTGGCGGATGACTACGTCACCGCCGTCAAAGCGGGCCGCGAACTGTTGGAACGGCATGCCGTGCTGCAGAGCTCCGGGAGGATTGAGGAGTTGGTGCGCGTTTTTATACATGCTACCAAGGTGAGTGACAACTACTTGTTGCTTCGAACGGCTGGGCGAAATATGGAATACAGAAGAAGGAGAGCAGAGCTAACGAAGTGGTTTGATCCGGCGCTCTAGATGGAGATTGGATTCTGGGAGATGTTTCCGTACAAGGCGGAGGAGGGTGGGTCCCAATGACCGTTGGCCGAGAGTAAGAAAGGGCTTGATGGACGGAGGCACACGATATGACAGACAGCGTTGGACACAGCAGCATCTATTTTCTGGGGTCGGTTATCTTTGACTGAGCATCAGATTTCTTTCTGCGTCGCGCTTCATTCCGCTAGCTCTCCGAACTTTTGTTTGCTCAGCTGAATCCTCGGTTCTTCTATAAGCGAGTAGCAAACAAGTGTGAGACTGTTTTCCTATCTTAAACACTGCAGGCTACACTGGTCGGCTAATGTACTTGAGTTGCTCAGTTGTCTCGCTCCCGCCGATGGCACTTCAAGTTGACTGCACGCACTTCGATTCTTTTCACTACCTCTACTCACACTCTCCTATTGACCGTGGGTTCTAACGCTGACGGAGGCATAAATCACCTCACTGATCGGGTTGATCTGGTCTAACAGCACTGTGCTGCACTCAGTCTTCCTTCCTCATCAACCACCGCCCCGTCCCAGGCAAACATTGACATCACCATTTACTCCCCAACAAATCGCCATTGTACACGGAACACACGACGAACCGAGTAAGTCGTAAAGGAGCCAGCGATATCGATGAACTTGGGTACCTTTGTTAGTAAGTGTCGAAGCTCAACACTGGCAAAATCGATCGCTCTACTACCCCCTCTAACAAGCTTCTGGAGAAAAGCCCTCTCCTGATTTGCTGAGTTAGGTGTCTTCCTTCTACTTCTCGCCAGTCTTAGCAGACCGCTGCACAAGTTGGATGGGGCGAATGGTTTACCGGCCGGGAGTCAGAGAGGAGTACTATCGCCGGCGGAGGAAGTCGTCGAAGGTTGTTTGTTGACAAGACTGGAGGACTACTCAAGTGTCGATGTTCATTGACTGCGAGACGCCGCCCTCACTTAGCCCGGAAAATCCATTAATGCTTGAGGTGCAGCATTGTACTGCAGTTTCCGAATTAATTTCAGTTTCGTGGTTTGAACGAGTGAAATTGTAGTACGGCTTCTTGGTCAATGAGTACAGACATATCTAGAGGTATGTTCGCTCTTTAACATGCCAGTGCTGATCTGTTCACTCCGTCAGTCTCGTACAGACGAACATTTTGGTCGCTGTCTCGCCAGCAGCACACACTTTTTCGTGGAGCGAGTTCGGGTTTGATTTTCTCAACGCTGCACCCGCCGAATGTACCATTCCACCGATTTCGTTAGAGAGTGTACGTAGTAGAGCGATCGATTTTTGCATACTTGAACAAACTTGAGCTCACTAACAGATACAAGAGGTGGGTACTTCTGTACGACAATTGCTCCTTTGCCCTTGCTTACTGCAGAGAGGTGGTATACGGTATACTGTACCAGAAGATACTAGGGGGGAGGGAGGGGCGTCCGTGAGGGAGGGAAGTGACGATGCCTTCGTGCTGGGGCTCGGGGTGAGCAGTGACTCTGACAGAGGAAGGTACGACTCGTGTGAGTGGGAAGGACTGCTTGAGTGCCGCGATGTAAAGGCGGACGGAACTGTAGTAGTTCATCGCAACTTGAACAAACGAGTGGCAGTGACGACCAAAGACCAGCGGTTGATTAATTCAGCATTGCGGCGCTAACTGAAGGCATAACTCCGGTACGGTAAGCAGAGGTACCTCTAGGTATGAGCAAGGGACAGATAGACCACGGTATTCAACGGACGGGCTCGCATCATAGTACTGTCCTGTAGAGAATCACTAATACACTGACAAGTGAGCAGATAATTAAGTCTAGGTAGTACAATGGCCTTTCTGTCTACAAGCTTCAGTTCCGTACTGACTGACACCTATGGCCTGCACTTTAACTTCATCAACTGCAATGTTTTGATATATGTGGCACTGCACTGCGGTTGGGACTACAAAGCTCATTGATTCGTAAAGTGAAGGTAATGTTATGCCAACTGCAGTGGGTTGCTAACTTCAAGACTTGATTGAGTAGAA